TACCAAAGCAATCTACAGATTGAATGCAATCCATATCAAAACTACAATGGCATTTTTCACAGAACTAGAACAAATAACTCTAAAATTTGTATGGAACCACAAGAGATCCCAAATAGCCAAAGCAATCTTGAACAAAGCTAGAGATATCATGCTTCTGATTTCAAACTATATTACAAAGCTACAGTAATCAAAACAGTATAGTACTGGCATAAAAACAGACACACAGACCAACAGAATAGAGCCCAGAAAACCCACACAAACATGGTTAATTTACACAAAGGAGGAAATACACAATAAGCAAAGGAGAGTCTCTTCAATAAATGGTACTGGGAAAACTGGACAGCCACATGCAACAGAATGAAACAGAACCACTATCTTATATGGATTACTATCTTATACCATACAAAATACTAACTCAAAATATTAACTCACATTTAGAAAGACCTAAATGTGAGACCAGAAACCATAAAACTCCTGTAAGAAAACATGGGTGGTAAACTCCTGGACATTACCCGTGGCAGTATTTGTTTTGGATCCGACTCCAAAGGCAATGGCAACAAAAGCAAAAATAAACAAATGGGATTACAAAAAGCTTTTGCACAGCAAAGGAAACCATTATCAAAACAAAAAAAGCAACCTACTGAATGGAAGAAGATATTTGCACAGCAAAGGAACCATTATCAAAACAAAAAAGGCAACCTACTGAATGGAAGAAGATATCTGATAAGGAGCTACTATTCAAAATATATAAAGAACTCATACAACTCAGTAACAACAACAACAACAAAATCCAATTTAAAAATGGGCAGAGGATCTGGATGACACTTTTCCAAAGAAGTCAGAAGGATGGCCAATGGGCACATGAAAAGATGCTCAACATTGCTAATCATCAGGGAAATGTAAATCAAAACCACAATGAGATGTCATCTCACACCTGTCAGAATGCCCATTATCAAAAAAGACAAGAGACGTGCCTCGGTGGCTCTGTAAATTAAGTGTCCAACTTTGGCTCAGGTCATGATTTCAGGGTTTGAGTTTGAGCCCTGCATCGGGCTCTCTGCTCTCAGCTCTCAACACAGAGCCGGCTTTGATTCTCGGTCCCCTTCTCTCTCGGTCCATCCCCCTCTCATATTCTCCCTCTCAAAAATAAGACGTTAAAAAAAAGAAGAAGACAAGAAATAACAAGTGTTGGAAAGGTTGTGGAGAAAAGGGAAGCTTTGTGCACTGTTGTTGAGAATGTAAATTGATACAGCCGCTATGAAAAAACAGTATGGTGATTCTTCAAAAAATTAAAAATTGAACTGCCATATGTTCCAGCAATTCCACTAGTAAGTATATTATAACTGCCAAGATATGTAAACAACCTAAGTGTCCAGTGATGTTTGAATGGATAAAGAAAATGTGGTTTATATACCACACTTACTATTCAGTCACATAAAAGGAAATCTTGCCATTTGTGACAACATGGATAGACCTTGAGAGTATTATACTAAGTGAAATAAATCAGAGAAAGACAAATACCATCTGATTTCATTTATATGTGAAATCTAAAAAGCAAAAGAACAAATAAAACTCATAGATACAGAGAACAGATTGGTGGTTATCAGAGGGGAAGGGGTTTAGGGGATAGGTGAAAAAGAATGAAAGGGGTTAACTGTATGGTGGCAGATAGTAGGTAACTACACTTATTATGACGATCACTTTATAGTATATGCAAACATAAATTATGCTGTACACGTGAAACTAATGTGTTATATACCAATTTTACCTCAACAAAAAAATAAAAATAACATATGCTAACTTAGGTAGCTGAAGGAAGACAAAAGAAAATTCACAAAACAATTTAAAAATTTTTTTAATGTTTATTTATTTTTGAGAGAGACAGAGCGTGAGCAGGGGAGGGGCAGAAAGAGAGGGAGACACAGAATCTGAAGCAGGCTCCAGGCTCTGAGGTGTCAGCACAGAGCCTGAAGCAGGACTTGAACCCACAAGCCGTGAGATCATGACCTCAGTCAAAGTCAGTCGCTTAACTGACTGAGCCACCCAGGCGCCCCCAAAAACAATTTAAAAACAAATGTTTCAGGTGAAAATGCACAAGAACACAAATAAGTTCACAAATGTAAATATACAGGCAGCTTGTAACATATAAGTGCAATATTCTATAATTTCTCAAAGACTACCATTAGTAAAAACTATTAATTGCTCTATACTTGAGATGACAGCAATATCAAATTATAGTGAAATCTCCATTTAAAAAATACTCAATATTCAAAAGGCCAATTATTTGACTTATTAAATATTATAGCATACATTAGGGCTTTCTATAGCAACTGTCCTTCCTCCGATGCTACAACAAAATAAACTACTTAAAAATTTCCTGAACACACTTTTAGTTTTACTTGTTTATATCTTTTTTCTGTTCCCTTCACCTAAAATGCCCTCCCTCTCTTCCACTTACAACTTCTATTCATTCTTGGGAGTGCCTGGGTGGCTCAGTCGGTTGAGCATCTGACTTTGGCTCAGGTCACGATCTCACGGTTCGTGGGTTTGAGCTCCACATCGGGCTGTGCTGACAGTTCAAAGCCTGGAGCCTGTTTTGGATTCTGTACCTCTGTCTCTCTCTGCACCTCCCCCACTTGTGCGCTCTCTCTCTCTCTCTCTCTCAAAAATAATAATAAACAATAAAAAAAAAAACACCTTCTATTCATCCTTCAAAATCCTACTCAGGGGCCAGCATCTCTATGAAGCTTTCTCTGACCTGCCTCAAATTGATCATTCCCTCTGTAATATTTCTGTATGTTTATATTTACTTTATTGAATGGATTCCATTAAAATTATCTGTTAACCCTTGTGCCTAGCCACCTACAATCATGATGTCAACATTCTGAAAGTCAATCCCTAACAAAACCACAGGACCGGACACACAAAAGATAATTTCACTGAATTAAAAAAAAATATTTATATTCCCCAAGTACACAGCTCTCTATGCAATGAAATATGTGTCTTCAAGAAGAATGCACAGCAAAAGAAAATGCAAAGTGCACTATAGATAACCCCCCATTCCCATAATGCAAATGTGAACGAACAATGATTATTAGCAGTTCAAATTTGTTTCATTAGAAATGCCATTCTAGTAAGTGATCATCGCAACCGATTTTGTTCAGGAAACATATTTAAGAAACATACTGGTTAAAGTGTTGATTAAAAAGAATTAGGATATACCAGGTACTTAATTAAATAAACTCTTTCTAAAAATGAATAACCTAAACTGTAAACAGCAGGATTAATGGTTAGTACTCTCAGACTCTTCCACCAAAGTTCTGAGGACTACTGCCACTATGACCTCATTCCTCTAGACTGTGAGCTCTGTAGGGTCAAGAAAAATGGTAGCAGTAGCCCTATCTCAGTCCTGGGAACCACAATTAGGGCAATACAGAATTGACACCTGTATAAAATCCTCAATCAACAACCAAATATATTTCTTTAATAAAATGATAATTATCTTCCATTAACACTATCAACCAGTTTAGCCTAATCAAAAAAAGAAATTAATACAAGGTAGTGGCCTCCTTGAAATATAACTTAGATTTAGGAAAACAGATTGAGAGGAGCCTGGGCGGTTCAGCCAGCTGAGCTACCGCCTCTTAATTTTGGCTCAGGTCATGATTTGAACCCCTTCATGGGTTCGTGGGATTGAATCCTTTGTTGAGCTCCCCACTCACAGCACAGAGCTTGCTTGGGATTCTCTCTCCCTCTCTCTCTCTCTCTCTTTCTCTCTCTCTCTGCCCCTCCCTCGCTTGTGCTCTTGCTCTCAAAATAAACTTAAAAAAAATAAAAAATAAAAAATAAAATAAAAAAACAGAGCGAGCATAAAATGAAATGGCACTGAGTATCAGTGATTCAGTACCTGGTGAAAAAAATTTTAACGTATTATTTCATGTTCTGTTCCTCAATGCAACACAACTAAGCAATCTTTCACTTTGGCTTCTTATAAAGTTCACAACCAACACTTGCCAAGTACATACCAAAACCTTGCTCCCAACACACTTACTACAAACAAGCCACGTATATTTAATGGGTATGTCCTAAATTCCACTTTTTCTTCATAGTTAAGTACTGCTTCCCTAATCCAATCTGTGCCTAATTTTAGCAAAAAGTACAAGCAAGTACTAAGTGTATTTTCATTTGCTCCAATATGCTTTTGGTCAACTTCCAGTTTCTTGTTCTTAGTCCACAGAGTGAAGTCACTAAATTGGTACCTTATAGATAAGTCTGTTATAACCACTTATAACAATTAAGAATACCTCCCATTAATTAGGGGCGCCTGGCTGGCTCAGTCGTAGAGCACACAACTCTTGATCTCAGAGTTAGGAGTTTGAGCCACCCGTTGGGTGTAGAGATTACTTAAAAAGTAAAGTAAACTTAAAAAAAAAAAAGAATATCTCCCATTAATTAGGATATATGATTAATATCAACGACGGTTACAAACTTGTTGAGAAATAAAATCTGTATTTCCACAGATTAAGTATTTTTTAATATTTCAATTTCCCATAAAGTTTTTCCAACATTCCTATTGCTGCAAGTCAAATATGTTAAACTGATGATTCAGGTTACAATCACAAGCACCGTTACTACATAAAGAAACAGACAACAGTGAATGATGTAGAAAAAATGTCACTGGCTTCTGAGTAAAAGAAAGATGATCTTTAATTAGTGCTTCTAATGAAAGCCGTAGCACCCACTCAATCGTAAAATCTGACTAAGGTAAGAGTGAAAAATCAAAGAAGCTGAGAGAAAAGACAATTGAACAAGCCATTTTTGTCATTACTGTTCAACATCTACTAAACCCCCCAAAGGCTAGAGATCTGACAAAAATTCTTTGACGGCTGTTCCAAAGAAAAACGGCAAGAAACAAAATTCAAAACCCTTCTCATTTACTTTTCAACAGCTAGCGGGGAGGAGGAGAAGGAGCACTTTATTCAAAAAGTAATACACTATACCTCACTCATGAACGAAAGCCAAATTTCACCCAGAGGCTGTCAACCGAGGCTCCAAAACTTATTCGCACAAAGTACACGGAGAAAGAAACAGGGCTGGGCGAGACCTAACTCGGGCAGAGATGCGGCTTCCAAACCTGAAAGGAAGAAAACAGCGAGTCCGGTCGTGGCTCCAGAAATTTCTGAGCGCCCGGCTCGACGAGGCAGCGCGATGCCCGCAGCGGGGAGGGGGCGACGGCACCTGTCACCCGGCGGCCCCGCCACCACGGTAGCCCCCGGGCCCGGGCCCCGCGGAGCCTGGGGAGGCGCAGCCACGGCCCGGGCGCCGGGGCCTGAGGAGGCGCGGGTCCCTCTCCGCGCCGAGCCGCGGGGCCGCGGCCCTTCCCGAGGAGCGGCCCTCCCCGCGCCCTCTGCCCAGCGGCTCCGACCAGCGGGGCCCGTCG